GTATGAGTTACATGTCTTAGAAGCATGCGCTCGGGCAAAGTGTGAAATTCACTACAACACACTTAGTTAACACAAACTCTTAAAACTTGCCAGCAACTCCCGTACAGTATTTCACACATACAGATCTTGTGAAGAAGTATAAATAATGCACCACCATGTAGAAGCATTTTGGTGTTGGCAGTTTTAATGTGGGCCACAAATCACTATTTAAGCAATGAACAATCGCTTTCAAATCACCCATTCGGCATTGTGGAGCTGAATAAGCTGTACTGGGAGCTTTGCTGATCGGAATGCATTGCCAAAACCAGCATCAGGCAGTAGCTTTGTTCCACGCATAAATAAATGATTGCTTCATTTGGACTGACTGCCTCAATAGCCCCTGACAGAATGAGCAGGATAATCAACAGGAACTTTAAAACTCTATGAGGACCAGTCTGTCTATGAGTGAAAAGAGTTTGCAGCCTCTTCAGATGCTCTCAATACATGCACATGGACATACACACCAAGCATAACACACCTCAGTGAGTAGCCACGTATTCACCCACACACAATGAGACCCCATACTTCAACAGCACAAGCCCCAGCTCTTTAAATTTGGCACACACACATTGTTTTTAAGGGGGGACCCTGGTAACCTCCTCATGGCCTTTTACGAATAGTGCAGTTAATTTGAAGGACAGGACCCCATGCTAAGTGTAACACAAACACCACAGACGGCGGCGTCCAAAGGCTGGTGACATTTATATTCTGCCTTCACATACACGCATGGTTCTTTTTGAAGGTATAGAATGAACATGCAGCCAAGATTGCTCCAAAATATGTGTGGTTTCATTCTTCATTACAGATAAATGCATTCTTTGTGTCAGAAGATGGAACCCAACATGGTGCATTGTTTTTATTCAATAACTGGGGTTTTCCCAATCTACCATGCCACTTGTTTACCACTGCTGAAGTTTTGTGTTGGAATAAAAACATTTCAGCTCATATAAGCTAAGCATTGTCCAATATGCCGATAACATTATTATCTGATACATGACTTTCTGTTTTCCCCAGTTATACCTCAGATAATCCTCAATCATCACCAGCGATATATATTGTGCATCCATGTATAAATCATTCTAGTTTATCTCCCATGATAATAAAGAAAATGCACCCTTCACAGTTTTTCATAGCGCACCTTTTTGTGAATTCTTGTTCAAATAATAATTCTGCTCAGCGCTCATAACATAACATAGCATAGCACAATAAGTTAACATATAGACAGTCTGTGTCTTTGTTGTGACATGATCCTGCTGATGTCACACATAATCCCTGTCTGTCTAATATGCACAGACCTCAAGTAATGTCACGACCCTCAGTGCTTCCTCTGGGACTTCTCACACACTGCACAGATGGACAGTGCAGGCCACACAAGCACATTTAAGTCCTTAACCCAACCATACAAACACCATACACATGTCATAAACACTCATTTGCTACATTAATCTATTCTTACTATTGTACTGTTCAAGAAAATGCAGGAAAACATAGATTCAATTTGGCTTGTTTTTTTATTGAATTCACAACACAAAATACTCAGAAATTTGTGGTTTGTCATTATATTAGAAGGTCTTATTTTAGTCCAGTGAAATGCTATTGCTCCTGTGCATGTGTTAAAACTGAGTTTTGATTTTAAAACATAAATTTCAAATCTCAATCAAGTGCTCAGTACTTTTCCCAAATTTAATTCATCCAACCCTATTGTGTGCCAAAGTTTTACCTTAACCTAGTCCCTCTTGTTGTGTCATAATATGTGATCTTAATGAAGTATTGGGGGAGGTTGGGGAGGCTGTTAGTGTGTGGGACTGAATGACTTCATTGTGGTGCTGAGAGAAGGAGATTAGCAGCTAGTTAGCAGCACTAGTGAGAGTGGACAGCTGCTCTGTTCAATCACCTGTCAATCACTCGGTCAGTCAAAGGAAGTACTAATGCACAGTTAGCTCAAAGATCCTCCCCTTAATTACGCACAGAAGCACCGTAGTGGACCATCAGGCTGTCAGTCAAAAACAGAACAAAGTAGCACGCTTGTTATGGAGCTCACCAGCGACAACCTGCTCGGGTTCCGGAAGTTAGTTTTCCATTAAATTTTCCCATAGATTTTTCAAAATACTCAAATACTATATATATATATATATATATATATATATATATATATATATATATATATATATATATAGACTTCAAAGGTTAATCAGCTATATGGTAACAACAATCCATAATATGCTTGTTTTAAGTCCAAAAAGCACATCTAAAAACACTGAAATATTTGAATTAAATTAATGAGAAATTTACTTCCTGGACCGGGGGCAGTCATAGTTGAGTTTCATTGTGTACCAACATGCCAAGAACTGATGAGGCTTCACAGTGGCAGAGATAAGGTAGAGGATGTACACACTGACAAGCAGGTCATGTTTTATGGGTTCATAGGTTTTGCTGACTACATTATTTCAATCATTAGAAAGCATTAGCAGCAGGACTACTCTAGACAAAAGAGGGATGGGTGCTGACTGAACCTTTCCGTTAAGATAGTGATGTTAGATAAGTACAAAATGGAGAGACAGCCTCCAAGTAGCTGTACAAATAATTTAACAGAAAAATCAATAACCTTGTATCTAGATCTTTATCTAGACTGTGCACACACTTCTTGAACACAAAATAGCTGCCAAGATGTAAACAATTTCTCGTGATATACATTATCAAATCTCCTTGCCAAGTCATAGGAACCAGCGAGGCTCATGTTGCTACTCCGCGTCGCCTGAAAGCTACCTCCTTATGACTGCTGCAGGGTCTGTGGGTGTCAGTTACAGACTTCTGCTTTAGCTGGGTTAAATCAAGTTCAACAACAGATGCTTCTTACAATCCTTTGCACAGCGTGTTTTGACATGATGCCTGGGAATTGGCTTGATTTGTGCATCGTCCTTAATGTGCCGATTGAATCTTATCACACTGCAATCATAGCTATTAAGAACACATCAGGCATAACCAAGATGTCTATATACCTGTCATTCAAAACAAACGTACTTTTTAACTTTATAAAAACATAAAAGCAGTGTGATAGTAGGTTTTCTTTATTATAGGCTGTCAAAAAAGAAAAAAATTATGACTATATACCAATTCATAATTCAGTGCTAGGTTGAAACTAGATAATGAAATGAAATAAAATATATATATATTTTATTATTTATTTATTTATTTTTACAATTTCTAAACAGCACTTGCAATAGTTTAGCATTATAAAATAAAATAAGCTATTATCCTCTTTTATAAAGTATATATATATATATATATATATATATATATATATATATATATATATATATATATACATACATACATATAGCAAACACTGCAAGAATAAAGCTATTGGAGAAGTATTTTAAATGGGCTGGCCTGTAATATTTGATGAACTGCTTGGATTTACACATCTTTAAGGCTTAGACTGACTTCTCTAAAAAAAAGCAAAATTATGCAGTGAGAATTGCTTCTGTGGCATCAGTGCCAGGAGTCAGAGGAAGCTGGTCTCTAGTGTGAAAGGCTATAGAGAATCTCCGAGCAGATGCACAATAACCTTGAAGAAACGGGGATCTAACTGTGAAGCACACCCCGGGCCAACTTTTCATAGGTATACGGCCATAATAGAGTGTATTGTAGTAACATATGAAACAAATACAATTTTGTAACTTAAGAATTTTATTGCTTGATTTGATGTTCTTGAAAATCATTATTCAAGAAGCCATGAAATTCATTGGTCTTGTCTAACGTCATCCAGATTTCAACAGGCGTAATTTAATATGGCTTCTCTGAACAGCTGGAGGTAGTGATAATTTATCTGACTGTATTTGCAATGTTCCAATGATTTTTACTTCAAAAGCCCTGTAAGCAAAAACATCTTTACAAATCAGTCAGTGTGTACATAAGGAAATATGTAATTGAAATAAGTCCATGTCAAGAGAAGGGGCTATGAAAACATTTTCGCAGTCTTTTTTGTTTTATATTGATCCTCAGATCCCAGATACACTAAGCCACTGGTTCTAATAACTACTTACGCTGACAAGGTAATTACAATCGTGCCATTGAGCAACAGCTCATCTCTCTCTCTCTCTCCGGAGTGTAACAAAGGAGTATGAAAGAAATGCAATATGATCTGCCCCAATGCTGTGTAACAACAGTGTTTTTGTTTAAAATTCAACACCTCTTGCACTAAAACCTGTTACTTCTTCAGTATTAATTACTTAAGTATAGCACTTGTGCTTCCTGGAGGCAGTGGTCAGACAAATTGCCTGTCTGTCTGCTGACATGAAAGGCTGGGAGTAGCTGCCTATGCATCCATCTGCGCCTACATGGAAGAGTAACAAGAGAAGGAAGATGGAGCGTAACATAAGGAAGGTCCAAGTATCGCCTTTCCTCAAATGTTTCACTGTTCTTGTTAACCCTTTGATATTTTAGGTCTCTAAAGTGTAGTGCACCAAGTAAAACAACAAACACAGCCTTGTATTACAACCACTAGATGCTGCTACATTTTCAAAGAGTGTTTATCTGTGGGTGAAAGCTAAAAATACTGGATTTGCCAAAACTTTTAATACACTGTATTTTTTATCTTATTTTCAAGCACTTTGCTATAATGAAGTTTAAATATCTTTATTACAATATTAAAACAAAGCTTAATATGATGCCCTGAAGTGCCATTGTCCGTAGCAGATGCCCGATTCACCGCAATGCGAAACTGGTGACTGCTGCCTTGTTATTTTCATTTCACTTTTAAGTGTACTTTTTAAGGAAGACCTATGCTCATATGGTGTAAATCATATTGAGAGGTATCAGGAACAGTTTTTTGTGTAAAATATAGGCTAATGATGCATAAATCTGATGTGGCCTACTGGTATTTTTATTAGGAAAAATTAGGGTATGTAGACTGATATGAAGACAATGTTTTTTCTGTGAAAGTGTACACAAAGACATACCTCCATGGCGAGTGCTGCGGTCTGCTGGTCATAGTGATTCAACAGATTGGGCATGAAGGTGGTGTTGTAAGGCAGGTCCTGACACATTCTTAGTCTGATGGGCTCACAGGTGAATTCGCTGTGGCTCTCGATGTACTCCATATGAATAGACAGAGATGGGGACACCACAGAGCAGAGCAGTAGGACGAGATGGGTGACAAAAGGGACAGGGCATCGCGTCTGTCTGCAGAATAGGGATGCAGCCTTAAACCTCATTTCCTCCACTCTATGCATCGCAGTTCTAGCTTTGGACAAGCTCATGATGACTTTATTATCACCCGAGGAGCCACATCCAACAGCTTAAATAATAGATGAGCAAACATGGGAATAGGAGGAGCTCACTGCACTAGGAAAGCAGAAATAAAAATAAATCCACATGAAGATTTTAAATAGTCAAGATATGTCCCATTAATAGTCGTCATCCTCTGCAGTTGCTTATTTGTTGAAAATCCACTGGGAGTTGTGGATGATGCTCCTTCTCATGATTTTGTTCTGTAGAAGATTTGCTGAACAGACCCTGAAAAAGTCAAACAATTGGTAAATATTTATTACAGATAATAAAGGATATATGGTATAATTAAGTCAGCTGCGTTCTGTCCTAGAGAGGGGTCACGCACAGTTTACGTAGCAGACATCCAAAAACGTGTTCTAAGCAAGCCTAGACAAACACTGCAGGGTTGAAGGCACTAACATGAACATTACACCTGCAGACACAGACACTCCCCCGCGCTCTCGTGTTTGTGTGAGGTTGACAGGGCAACAGTAACGCTGTCCTGCGATGTTTCTCACTTCGAGATACGATATCTTCAAGGATTTTTATAGTCTACATAAAGTTAATACACCCAACTACACCCAACCACACCCCCGAGGCAGCAGAAGTAATGGCATCATAAAACAACGCAAATGACAATATGTTAAAATGTCAACAACACGTGCCTAAAGTGGCTAATCACGATTATAAGCGCTCATTGGATGTCTATGGGTCATGCGTAACGCATCGGACAGGTAACAGACCTGACGTACCTTTCTAGCTTCACTGAAAAACCTGAAGCACGCTTTAAATGTCTTCTCCAATGAGCCACAAGCTGCGCATGAAAAGCCACACACAGTGGCATTCCAGTCAGCCTGTGAGAGTGCATCAATCTTGGTCGATGGATGAGATGTCGTCTTGTGCAGAGCAGCGCGCTGTTACCGACGTAGGACTTCTTCTTCACTCGACCCTCGTACCTCACTGCAGCTCGCGAACATCATTTTACTAATGCACGTATTACAGAGCCTTTCCCACAGATGGAGGACATCCGCTTGTCGAGTTGTCCACGGCACACCGGCCGCATGTGCTGCAGTGTGTCGCTGTTCAATGTTTGCAGCTGGTTCCCTGCAGCGTGCTGCCGACATCACGGGAGCGCGCACTGTGAATGCGCACAACAGTTACCCAATTGGCCCCTGGACGCTTTGAGAATTAGTGCATAAAATTTTATTTTTCTTTTTTAACAGAATTAATGAGGTAGGCCTACAATATTACACTTTGTAACCTGCAACTACTCATCAAAAACTGTCTAGGTTCCCCAAACACATCAATCAGACTTGGAAAAAAAAAAAAAAAAAAAAAAAAAAAAACAGGCCTAGTTTAAGGAATTACAGGCCTGAAATCCTTGTAGAGTGTCTTAATAAGGCTTATTACATAACTGCACTAAATACACAGACTGTTAAGTTAAGCATCATAATGTAGGTCACATTTTTGATGTAATGTAGTCTAATATATGAGGTAAAAATATGATTTGTATTTACTACATAGTTGTTTGTTAGATTTCGAGACCAGGGAATTATTTTACTGTTCCAAACATGTAACTTAAATCATTGTGACACACATTGTTCTGCCACACAAGCTGAAATGGCCACACGCTGTCATCATATCAGTCAACTTAGTGTCAATATTTATCCCATACAGCTCCAGGATTAGTAGTGCGTGCTGAGATTTCCTTCCACACGATTGAGCGGCGCACTAGATTAACAGTTTCATGGCTGATCTGATCTTCTCCTTCATAGAGCTCTGGGCGAATGGAGGGAGGGTCCATGGCTTTACTGTTGGACTTTAGTGTACACTGGCCCACTTAGACAACCGCTTTAACCTCTTTCTGTAACCCCACTTGACATTTCCCCAGCTTAAAAAAGCACAAATGGTAAAAGCAGACAAAGCTGGTAATAATCCAGGACTTTTCTTTTATTGAGAAAATCCCCACATAAATCTAATACATGTTGTATACAGTGAAATGGTTAAATGTTGTAAAACAAATATAAAAACTTAAATTTAAAAGGCATAAAGGACTGTAAATATGCATTGAACTTGTTAATATGTGCAGTATAGTGGAGTGTACTTCACAACTCACAAAAATTTTAAACAAAATAGTAGTCTTTCATTAATACTGGCATCCTTCATGTAAAAATGTGCTGCTTAAACAACACTCCACTTTAGTTGAAAATAAAGTGTTCTTACAAATAAATATGCATTTTACTTTCACAATAAAAAAATAATTCACAATCTTTATAATGTTGTTGAAATGCATTTAGGATTGAGGATATACAATTTATAAGTAAAAAAGGAAATAATAAAACTTGTGCTTGACAACATGTTTTTCAGGCATCTGGCATTGTTGGCTGTGCAATCAGATGTTGGCTATGACCTGTTGCTGCGGCCTCATCTTCCAGCTGGAGAGAAAACAAAATCATAAAAAGAATTGCTAAAAAAATAAAGCATTTACAAGAAAACTAAAACTGGGTAATATTTGTTTTTAGTTTTTGTTTTCTTTGTTTAATTTAAAAGAGATTTTGAAGTGGCTGGATTAAAAAACTGTACTAATATACGTCATTAACTGTTATAAAGACACAGACACACCTATGTTCATAAATAAGCTTAAACCAACCACCACTAGACAAACATACACCCACCTGGTCTTTGATATAGTTGTGTCCACACGGGGCGAGGCCTCTTAAAGCCAGGCCAACGATGAAACACCAGATCGAAAGGCCCACTTCAGCGGCTGACAAAGCTGCGCATGGAATCCACAGTGCCAGGGTGGTGTCCTAGGTCACAACATAAAGAACAGTGGAAAAAGTTCAGCAGAGAAAGAGAAAAAATGACAAGAAATCATATCTCATAGCTTTATCCGCACAGGCACCCCAGTTTTCATGCACAAAGTTATAGTAAAAAAGAAAATCAATTTGGTCAACTGAACAAAAGTTTTGGATTGAATGTTTTCAGCTCAACCAAGCTGCATCTTCAGAACTGAAGTTGACCGAATTTAATTTATTTTTTTGCTATGGATCCTACCTGGACAACTGAGGGATTACATAAACATGCACAAAGGTAACTGACCATCATACTGGTCCTGACCAAACTCCAAAACAGGTTGCCCAAGGAAATTTCCCTATGTAGTCAATCAAGTGTACTACTACTCATATTTTTCTCTCAAAAATATGAGTTAGTGCAGTACAATGGCTGTGTCAACATTATTTAGTTAATTGACAATTGTGATTATAATACCAGTCAGTCAGAACAGAATAAAAATCAAAACAAAACAAAACAAAAATGTAATTGTGAACATTTCTTTCAAAACAGTAACATTAATTTCTCTAAATTACTTTTTCATACATTGGGCAGTGTGGGCAGAGTGAATTACCATTTCACTGTTGTTTTATTCAGTGTTGAATAATGAATAAAACACGATGTTTCTTCTCACAGTAAACACAACACAAATTGACTTCAAATAATATAATGACATCACCAAAATGGAAATTTTTTCTTAAACTTTTATCTTTACTACAGCAAGTGTACTTACATAGATTCGTGTTGTATCGAAGGGACAGCGGGCACTGATAGGTGACCTTGCGTTGATTGGAACCCCGGTGCTGTTGCAGCCCTGCATCAGACCCTGCCCATTGTGAGCAACAGTGACCCCAATGGCCAAGAGGAGCCCAATGCAGCAGGCAGCGGACAGCATGGCATTCAGGAAAGATGTGATTATAAGACCTATTTGCTAGATAGACAATGTTATGGGATATCAGCACAGACAATAATAATACACCATAGTAAATCAATCATAGCAGTCATATTAAAATCGACTTTATACCAGTTTGATCACATGGAGGTTCCTAGATACCACAATAGCAATTATCCCGGCAGCTATGCTCTGGAAGATTAAAAAAAGCAAAAAATAAATAAATTCAGTTTTGTTTTCCACATGAATAATGAGCCATAAACAATTTGTGAAAGGGAATAAAGCTGTGTAAGTGCAAGTAAACAATCAAAATAACTGTAGAAGTCCTCACAGGACAATTGAAATACTTTAAATTCTTATACATAATCTTGAGTATTGTGTCAAATTAGGAATCACTCCATTAAATATTTGGCTTTACAGATGTACTGGGACTATAGCAGGACCAACTAATCCAGGACTCTAAAATGGGATTAAATAGGGCCTGGTTTGAACTAGGACAAGGAATTAGGAAAGGGAACTTTCTGGATCCAGTAAATCTATAAAGATGTATATTCAAATTAAAATGCTTTATAATAGTGCTGCTATAATGCCATTTGTTTTTATCCAATAATGATCATTATTTAAACACAGAATTCACTCACCAGTAGTCCAGATGTGACAGAGATGATGTTGGCCACTGTATACTCTGTGGTGACATGCTGATTGGGTTTGGAGATGTGCCTCAGGACATTCCCGTGGACAATGGCCCCAAGGATGAAGTTAATATGGCCGACCAGTATAAGTGTGAGACCCTTCTTCATGAGCCTCCCTGGTCCTTTCTCTTTATCTGGGGATAAACAGCCATACAGAATCAAAAGTTACATAGTTCTTACATTCCATTGCACAAGTAAGATATGAAAAATGTCAAGGGAATTAAGATGTAGTCCACTAGGCGAAGGTTAAAGGTGCACTATGTAACTTTCCTGGTAGAGGGTCTGCCACCTGCTTGACTCCATGTAGATGTTATTGTTTGTTCCTAAAATATTCTACAGTATGCCATTTAATTTAACTATCTCCATGAGACAAGGAGGCCACATCACCAGGCCAAGTTACTGGTTATCTGTGGGCTGACTCATGGTAATCATGTATGTTTTTGTGGTAGTTTTGAGAAATAAAAACACCTGTAGATGAATAAATACAAAAAATAAATTAATAATTATGCCATTTTGTTAGATCTAATTGTCGCTTAAATATAGGCTTAAATATAGGCTATATCAGTAATGTAGTGAGTTCAATGGGTAGAGAACAGGTAACTATGCTACATAACAATACAATACAAAGCAAGGCGATCTTTTCCCTTTCAGTGGGAGGGGCTGTTAGTCCAAAAGACGAAATCAAGGTAGCTGCTTCTGGTTTCAAGCCAAATTAACTAAACGACTCGATAGACAGCAAAAAAAAAAAAAAATAAATAAAATAAAATAAATAAATAAATAAAATCCCACAAATCCTTTTTAGATGGAAATATGAAATTCATTACCAAACCAAAACAGCTTGCTGCTGCAGTTTCAACCAGCACACTGCGTGTTTCAGATAATCCAATCAACCCGGGCTTTTCGTTGCACTCATCAATACACCCCACTTACCGAATAGTTTGCACATCTTGGCTGATTCCTTCCTTTCTTTGCGGAATTATGCTTTTTAGGTGGCCGTACAAATGTCGGCCAAGCTGTAGATCGGAGGTCCTTCTCCCTTTCTACTTCCGGTGTGACGTCAGCAGACTTACCTGTAATTACACCTGTACAGCGCAGTTCATAGAGTTCATAAAGTAGAAATGAAATCAACAGATTAAAAAAAAAAGTTCGAATAAATTAAACAATTCAGTTCGACAACTGGTGCAGTTCAGTTTCACACTTTTATTTGTAAGAGCAGTTATAGCTGACTGTCTGAAAGTACCCAATATACAGTCAAGTACTGACATTCATGTCATAAATAACAGGGAAGATAAAAAAAAAGATACTTTTTACCAAGTGCCATACTCCGCTTATCCTTTAAGATCTTTAAGATTAGGAAAGAAATTGTAACAGAAAATAAAGTAACAGATATCCCTCAAATCAACAAACTGGTTTCAAAGGAGTGTCTTTGGGTTTCACAATCTCACCTTCTCCCCAAATAAAAGAAAAGGCACATTACAGTACCACTCACAACTGGCAAATAAAAAGAAATAATACATGGATCAAGTCTGGAAGATCAGAAAATAGAAGACGCCATCTCAAAGGAAAAATATTGTGCTACAGAGAATTTTCCAGCTCATAACAAGTGAAGATATAAAACATAAAAAGAAAGAAAAATGCTGCCACCCTGTTAAGTACCAATACAAAATTGCATCTGAGGAATACATTGACTGTGGAGCCTGTAAACAAAGTGAAAATATAACATGCACAAACATCTATGTCCAGTTTTAACAAGTTAATGGGAAAAGCTCATAGAGTCACATGAGGCAGCATTATGGAGCATTAAAATGGTATAAAACCAGCCGGAGCTATAGGAAACTATAAAAAAAAAACCTAAGCGTTACGTAAAAATGGATTCACAGTATTTTAAAGAAACCATCAATTTTTTAACATTCACTCCTCGCTATTAAAAATCATTAATTTTAATTTTTAAAATTTTCAATGTAGGCAACATTTCAATAGCATACAACGCAGCTGACCAAAATATGTCAGCTACTACTGTGCAAATAATCAGTTGGAAGTTGTTCCTTTTTTATTTTGTGGGGAATTTAAAATGGTAGTTTGAAATAAAATGCAGTATTCACATTTTTGGTAGATTGTACATGAACTAATGGACATATTGTCAGTTTTAGTAAAGTTGTGCTAGAGGGAGCTACATTCTTTATGGCCAATGAGAACACGTTTTGGTCACAGCACCAAAGGATAAAAAACTGGTGGAAAAGTATATACAAAATAAATATAACTGGACCAAAAGAGTTTTCAGTGAGGAGCTTGAGACAGTGTTTCTTCAAGAAGAGATGCTACTTTACTTTGGTCCATCTGTAGAAAAAAATACAACCATATTTTAGTGGTGATTACTCAATAGTCACTGGTTACAAGAATCACTCAAATCCAACTTGAATTTCAATTGTTTAGGTTGAATCAGTGTTACACAATATATTGCAAAAGTATCAATATTGCAGTATTGATTAATGCAATGATCAATATCACAACAAACTCAATATATTGCAATAATACCAAGACATGTTTGAAAAAGAAATTCAGATTTTTACTCCAAAGTTCTTATCACAAAATTTGACTAGTTAATTATGGTACATATGTTTTTCCTTTTAATATAACAGAATTTATTGAAAACTATTATGTTAAGCAGTATTTTAAAATATTACAATAATTCATAATAATATTTTTATTGTAGTACTTAAGCATATTGTGCATCACATTTTTATCCATTCTCAACCCTAGGACTGCAGGAAGTGCAGCTCATAGGTCTGATCTCAAACACCCACCTCACTGATGAAGCCCAGTTGCACCAGCTCCAGCGTCAACTCTCCAACACCCTCATCTGAAACACACCAGAGAGAAGCACCACTGAGGACCTACTTATAGCACTTTACACGATGATGTGTTATGCAAGACTCCATTAAGACATATGTTTACATACTAAATATAGAAGAACTGCACTGGTTTACTGAGCTACATTACAAAGTAATTCAGCATTGTTTACACGAGAGATTAGATTGCCAGGGAAATCTGTTTAAACTTGCTCACTTCTAAAATAACCATGATGTGTTGAAGCATGTTTCGGAGTAATTTATTTGGAGATTTCACATTAACGGCTTACAGCTAATGCAGTTAGGCATGCGGTGCATTCTTCTGTTTGACTGAATGAAAGATTGTATCATCAACAAAGGCTTTGGACATTCAAAATCTGTGTAGATGTACATGATTCTGTAAATTCCTTTTGTGCACTCACACACTGTATGTGTAGAACTTAGTCTATTCGACATTAGATACAGTAGGGTGCTGGGCTGTGGTAGTGTGTGCTTGTGTGAGTGAGCGTAGAGACAGGGGGTTGAAAGCCTGAGAAAAGATGGTCAGATATTGACACACGAGGTGACAGCTGTCAGCTGCAGCTATCCAGAGGCCGGGCATTCCCCAGACGCCTGCAACATGAGACCTCCCAGCCATACCTGTGTGCGCATGTGCACATTAAATCAACATGCATTCGATCAGTCTGTTTGGTTTATTTTGTTTACAGATTGTAAACATGTTGTAGTTTTTTATTAATTATGTAGAGAAGAGGGTGCCTGATAAGGAGCTATAGTGGCCAGGACCTTATAATAATGAAAACTTTTGCAGTAACACTTGTAGTCAGACTACTTGACTATGTTAAAATTTTGTCTGTTAAATATTAAAATAGTTAAAACACAACACGTCAACAGGCACATTTCTATTCCCAATATAGTACTGCATGACATACAGTAAATAGTGATGCCATACCGAGTTTCATTTTCAAAGGTGCCTCAGAGGTTGAGGAACGCATAATGTTTGACATTTAAACTATTTAATCCCATATTTCAGTCAAGCAATTTAACAATTTACCACATGAAAAAGTACTTACGAGGTAACATGTCACAGCTTAGATGTCTATTAAGTTTGTCTTCAAATTTCAGCAGCAATGTTAGCTAAAAGAAGCAAAAACAGTGTTAAATATGGCAAAGTTTAAACATTTTATACTGATGATGCACACTTACATGATACTTTCCTCCATCTTCGTTTGGTTCAATATTACACTGCATCTGAATAACCTAAAAGTTTATTTTGGGTTAAGAATAAAACATATTACTAAATTAAGTCATTTATGTATTTGCATATATAACTGTATGTCAAATCAAATTCTCAAATTACCCGTCTCATCTCAAGCTCTGTAGGTTCAGGAGTCGGTGATTTGACCAAAGGAATGATGACTGGAGATTTGATGGTCTCTTTCTGAGGCTGCTGAGGGCATGGCAGACCAAATGCAATCATCGGATAGATCCCATTCCTATTAAAATTATTATAGTTTAAAAAAATTAGCACAGCAATTTAAAACAATTTACATAACTGATCATACAATAATAACGCAAACATCAGCATTGCATAACGAAGCAAATGAGTTCACCAGTAGTCCAATGCTGCCCCCTTGTGGTACTTAACAGTAAATAAGCTGTGAGCCTAAACTAACTTCAGTTCATGGTGAATATGTTGGTTTAACTCTTACCTCACATCTTCAAGAAACTTATCAAGCTCCAGTGCAGGGAATTGTGAAAACCTACATACAGCAGATATTTTAGTACTTTGTGTATTACTTTCTATGGAACAGAAAAAGTTTCTAAATCAAGGGAATCTCTTCAGCGTTAGCCTAGTGAACTACATACTTTAGCTGTACATCCTCTTTTGTCTCCGCAATCACAAGGTTTGGATCCAGGTTCTTAGTAAGCTCCTGCAGAGCATTTTCTGGGATGACATCTGCAACACAGTGTTCAGAAGTCCAAAATGAAGAAGAATAAACAAAAGCATTTATACAAATTGTGTGTTTGGGGATGAAAACTTACGTTGGTGACTAACAATGCAATGTGCGGCCAACAACTTCAGCAGAGGCACTTCAAACAGGGCCTGATTAAAAAGTAGTTCTTTGGCTGTAGGTCGTGTGGTCGGGTCACACTCAAGGCACTTTTGAATTAGCTCCTATAAAAATGTATCAAAAATCCTCAATTTAGTTTCAAAATAGTGAATTGTGAATTCAAACAAATTGCAGTTAATTTGTCTTACTCTCTGTAATGGGTCCTCTAGTAACTGTATAGCATTATTAATAGCCTCCTGAGACACATATGAGGAGTCTCCATTTCCCTGAATCTCCAACAGGGCCATCTGTAATGTGCAATATTTATGTATAATGCATAAAAATAACATTTCAGTAAAATAAACTTTACCTCTAAGGCACACATGCCAAAAGAATAAATGTCCACTGCGGTAGAGACATCATCTACAGCTGCAGCAAAACATAAACATATAAGGAATATATTTCTGTCAAACATATGTTCATTACATAATAATCATAATAACTGTGAGAGAGCTTTACCTCCATATTCTGGTGCAAAGAAGTGCAGGTTTTTCTTTTCCTCATAACAGGTTTTCACATTGTTGTTAATGGTATCTGGGGCAACTATAAAGACAGGTGTGTAAATATTAACACATATATTTCATGTCCTTTTATATGTTGTGCCTCAAGCAACGGAGCCCAGAAACTGTACGCACCTGATCCAATCTTAATGAGCCCGTTGTGCTGGATAAAGATAGTATCGCACGTGAGGTTGCCATGGATGATGGGAGGGTCACAGGAATGGAGATAACTACAGGGAAGAGAAGTAAGAGAGTAAAAAGAGTAAGTTCATTTCCTCTTGAAAATTGAACAGTTTATTTCATGTTCATGAAACTGACCAAAGAGCAGACAGAATCTGAGTGCACCATCGCTTCCAAGCCTGTGCATTGTGAATATGTAAAAGGTAAACCACAAACAGCCAACAAAATGTGTGAGATGTGTGAGTAATAATGACAGCGCACCTTTTCATTCATGGTCTTATGATTCTTTTTTGTTTTCTTTAAAAACTGCTTCAAACTCCCAGAAGACATATATTCAGTGATGAAAATTACCTGACAACAAATAATGATAGTCCAGTCAATGCTACATTATTCAGACACATTTTCACAAACTAAATTGTTAAATTTAATCCTTAAATATGGCTCCAAATTAAAGGCAGAATGAATAGCCTGAGCCCTCAGACTCACCCTAGCTCTGTTCTCCTTTGTGTCAGCCCAGTACTTGTGAAACTTGACAATGTTTGCATGTTCCAAATGGATCAGGTTATCAAACACCGCTTTCACCTTCTCCTGAAATTTGATATGACAAAACAGGTTACAAGTAAGAAGCTGTATTGGGCATAATACAGTACCCAGTTGTCAGTTGTACAATGTTGCCACTTTGGTAGCACTATGGCATAAACAAAGCCACACTCAGGTTTACAATAAAGATGACCTCATTTATAATCATGCACTGAACACACCTAGAAAAGGGTCGGCATATTATTAGAATGTGTTCAATGATCACAATAAATAGCATTTTTTAAAAGTAAAGAATTATTTGTAACTTTATATGCAGTAAGCAAACATTTGACCTCACCTCCAAAATTTTGAAGTTTTTCCTTTCTGAAAACATGACTTCATTCCAAACCACTTCAACCCCCTCCTCTGTGTCCATGGCCAAATAAGCAGCATCTATTCCAGGAACATTACGCTGATTCACCTACAAAACAGATCAAGTCTTTTTTAACATACTTTTAACAAAGAACATTAAAACCCCAATATACAATGTTAATGCTACTACTAATAATGTCAAGATATTTTTTGTAAATATCATCCACCCCCAAAACATTGTCCTACCTCCTCTTTGCGTTTCTGCCAGCGGCCACAGGGACTCTCCTCCAGGATATAGGACTCGTCTTCACTCTCATCTTCGTCCTCGGTGACAGTGGTGGCAGGAAGGGCCACAGGAGAAGTCACAGACATGCCACCCTGCTGCTGCTGCTGCTGAGTGGTACTGGGCACGGGTCCCAGAGCACTGTCCCCTGCATTGACCTCAGCAGGTGGCCCTCCTTTTTCCTCTGTTTCTGACATGATGACAGCACTTGAAGGCCTGTGTTGCTCTATGTTTTAGTGAGCTGCAAATGGCAACAAGTGGTGTTAATGTCTCCCTCTCTCTTTCTGGGCTACTTACTCTTTAACATTATCTTACATGAGAGCAGAATGCTAAGCTACAGCTTGGTCTGTAAAGAATATTTAAGCTAAATAAAGGTATTTGCATTTTCTTATGTCAGCAAAAACACACAACATGATAGCTAAAGTGTATGTCATCTTATAGAAATAGTGTTAGAAGTCATAGGCAAACTAGCACATATAAGTGGTTATTAACAAGATACAGCTAGCTTTTCAAACGATTATAAGGCGAGTTTAAGCTGTAAAAATGTTATGAAATATACAAGTGAACTAACTACCATACAAGACTTTAAAAGGTGTGTATAATTACCGACATTAGCATGTTCAGTCTTGTAGTCTTTTGCTAACTTTGCGAGCTAACGAGCTACTTAAAAGTGGCATTTTAGAGAAAGTTTCGCATGAAAAAAGAAGAGGTTACCGTTTACACAGAAGCATTGCACCAGTCTTTGCTTGTTTTTAAAAAACATAGCAGAGAAAGTGTAGATTTTTAGTTTTCCAGTCTCTTTCTCTCGATCAGGGGTGGGAGGGGCGAGAGGCTTTTGGGTAGTCGGACTTGCGCAAGAAAAACGCAATGTCAAGATAAATTCAATAAAGACAATTGCCAAACACAGGTTAATATATGTTTATATCTGCTTTATAGTATTAAAATAAAGCCCTGTGTATCTAAAAAAAATCTAGTGAAATAATGCATTGTACAATAAGACGTCTAATCTTAAAATGACCTCTAATTTGACAAATGAAGTGGAAAAAAAATGAGTAGGCTTACATTTATGACAATAGTTTTATAGCTAAGATAAATTTGATTATCTTCAGGCTATTTTGGTAATTGAAATATGATAATAATTATTCAGTGTTTATGACCGTGCGCCACACCGGAAGTTAAGATATTGAACTATCTTGTTACAGTTCCAGACAATAGACCATTTTACATAACCTTATTAGCGATGTAATTTTACTCATTTACATTGATTTAAACGTATATATCTAGAGCCACATTGCTGAATTCACAGTTTAATATCAACCTACTGTTTTTATGTTTATCTATTTATCTTCTATTTATCTATCGCAACACCGGAAGTTATTTTACTTAACTATCTTTACTATGTCTGCTTCCCTCACAACTGTTTCACATTGCTAAAACTGAGAGCGGACGATATTCGCAATTTTCTTGGAAGAGCAATGATGTAAACGTACTAATCCGCTTGCTTGAACATATTTTGATGTGTATATTTGTTTTTGATCAACAGAAGCATGTGTCCCCCTCAGTGGGGAGCCTAAAGACGCCAGGCCCTGTGCGTAAACAGTGAATAACGGGTTTTCCAGCGGAGACAGGACGGCGCAGGGTCGTGAGGCAGGACACTGGGCATCAGCTCTGTACGACAGCCGAGCAAAACATTAGCAAGCTAGCATCTCAAAACATCAGTGAATTTGCTATCATGGCCACAAATGAAGACATTTTATCCACGGCGATGGGCGATATTATACAGTTGAACGTCGGTGGGACCAGGTCAGCGTAAAAATTCATAATAAAAATTTGTGACAGCCATCATAACAGTGAATGAACCATGCGATATGTTATGTAACTCTTAACCTATAGGATTTACTCATGTAATTTTGTGCATCAGACTAATGCATTGACAAAACTATGATTCATCGTTTTGTACACATACAGATAATGTACTGATTTGTATCTCATTTCTCTGTAGGTTTTGCACTTCGAGACAAACTTTGATGTGGATACCAGACTCTTTCTTTTCAAGGTAAATTCACATAAAATGCAAATCGTGCACACCTCACAAGTTTTTAACAATCCGTCTGATCTGGAATATGTGAAATAATTTACAACAATATTAGTAAAGAATACTATTCACATTAAATAGCTAATAAATATCTCATGTGTACTAAGTATCTGCACAAAGATGAACGGACAGACAGAACAATAATGAGTTGTTTTATTGTAGTTTACTAAGTGGAAGGATATCCACTCTTCGGGATGAAACTGGAGCTGTAAGTACTGTTTTTTATTTTCTATCATTTGTATTATTATATGAAAAAAAAACCCCACCAGATCACAAGACAAAGTACTAACTACATTTTTTTTAGATCTTTATTGACAGGGATCCTACAGCTTTTGCACCTATTCTGAATTTTCTTCGAACCAAAGAACTGGACTTAAGGTAAGGTGTCATTTGAGCTTGTGGAAAGAAAAAGACAAACATCCAAACAATAAATCCATGTTTTTACAGGGGAGTTAACATCAGTATTTTGAGACATGAGGCAGAATTTTATGGCATAACACCATTAGGTATGTATGTTTAATACAATATTAATACTTGTTGTATTAAAAACATTTAATAGAATGGTAGCGTAATCCTCCTGGAGTTCTTGGCTGTTACCTGTTAAATTTACTGTTGTGGTACTGTGTGAAAGTAAGATGTTGACTCACAGCTGGTCTGCTGTTTGACAAGGGTTAAATGCTGTTACTTCCATGTGGTTGTACTTCCTTGTTTGAAATTCCCCTTCATTGTCTATGCACCTATAGTGGGAGTTCAACTTGTGAACAATTGCTATTAATATCACACAAATATATCGTGATAAGGTCACTAAAATTACAATTACAAATTAATTAATGTTTTGTATTTGTGTTTATTATTGTTATTAAGTTCGACGTCTGCAGTTGTGTGAGGAGTTGGACCGCTCGTCCTGTGGCAGTGTTCTTTTTCATGGTTACCTACCCCCTCCAGGTAAAAACAACTGAAAACAAACTTGATTTGATTTGTGTAACATGTGATCTCATTTTTTCCCTAACAGCCATTCCTGCACGCAAGTGCAGTGCTGCCTCGGCCACCTCTGAGGAACGTCCTGGACCAAGTGGAGCTGAAGGGTTTGCTCGCATTGGGCCAATGCCTCATCCCACTCTGACGGGGGTCGCAGGAACAGAGGATGTCCTCTCACTAGGTTAGCTGAAATTCCCAGCCCAAAAGCAAAAAGCAGAAATATTCATTATTACACTGTTAAGACTCCATGGGAGGTACATTTAATGTAATAATAATAATAATTATAATATCTTCTTTCTTTTTATTGTGTAGGTCCTGTAGTTGATCCCAGAAAGGTCTTGATTGTAGCCGGACATCACAACTGGATTGTAGCTGCATATGCACACTTTGTCATTTGCTACAGGTATCTCTGCAAAGTTGTTCTCTGTGTTATAGGGGGATGCTCTCGGCTAATATTTCTTTATATGTCTTTATTATATTATTCTTTAAAATTTATTTGATTAATGAAATATTGAACATTTTCATAAACACAATTAATTACATCTATAGTTAAAATAAGTATAATGTTGATGTGCTAGTGATGCCTTGATTCATTTTGTCAGACTCTTGTTTTCTGGTTGCATTGTTAAAAGACTATTACTGTTGTTACACTAATAAATGAATAATAGATATAATAATAATAATGTTAATATCTTAACAACAGAATTAAAGAGTCTTCGGGATGGCAGCAGATATTTTCATCCCCTTACCTTGAATGGACCATTGAGCGTATTGCACTAAATGCCAAAGTGGTGGGTGGTCCCCATGGAGACAAGGACAAGATGGTGGCAGCCGCTTCAGGAAGCAGCATCATCCTCTGGAGCATCCAAGATGGTGGGAGCGGGAATGAGATTGGTAAAACAAAATCAGCGCCTTCACATAAATTTGAAATAATACATGAATCACATTCCAAAACTATTGAACCATTGTGTTTTTTCCATTGGAGGTGTCTTTAGTTTGGGCGTACCTGTAGATGATCTGTTCTTCATTGGGAATCAACTGGTAGCCACGAGCCACACGGGGAAGGTCGGGGTGTGGAATGCAGTCACACAGCACTGGCAGGTACCACACAAAGCCTCTTGTCATTGGAGGAGGGAATGAAACATGTGTTACAACTCTGTTTCAGCAATAATGTAGTACTATGTAGTGTTTATTGTATATTGATCTGTTTTATTTTTAGGTTCAAGATGTTGTTCCAATCACTAGCTGTGATACTGCAGGTTCATTTCTACTGCTGGGTTGCAACAATGGCTCGATTTACTACATAGGTATTAGACACATATTCAAATTATGGATTCATTAAAAAAGCTGATATTTTTGAGTTGGTTTTAGATTTATATTTTGTACTTTTTCAGACATGCAGAAGTTTCCTTTGAGGATGAAGGACAATGATCTTCTTGTGACGGAGCTTTATCATGACGCCTCAAATGATGCTATCACCGCTCTGTCTGTCTATCTAACGCCAAAAACCAGTAAATATATTAATTACAACTACATTTTGTGACTTTTGACCAGTAGTGGCTATAAATCTCTAAGGCCATCCTTTTGTTATGTTCATTCTGTTCTATAAAATTGGCAAAACTCTTAATTTTTCAGGCGTGAGTGGAAACTGGATAGAGATTGCCTACGGGACGAGCAGTGGCGCCGTGAGGGTGATTGTGCAGCACCCAGAGACCGTCGGCTCTGGACCTCAGCTCTTTCAGACCTTTACTGTGCACAGGAGCCCAGTCACCAAGATCATGCTGTCAGAAAAACACCTGGTGTCTGGTAAGCCAGGCTACTCACCCTATAAAATACATAAACTGTGTTCACATTGTATATTAATATGGATTGTATTGTGTTTTTGCTGTAGTGTGTGCAGATAATAACCATGTTCGGACGTGGACCGTGACCCGCTTCAGAGGCATGATCTCAACCCAGCCGGGCTCCACGCCTCTGGCCTCATTTAAAATACTCTCTCTGGAGGAGACTGAGAGCCATGGCAGCTACTGCTCTGGGAATGATATTGGTAAGAGATATGAAAAAAAAAAATCACAAAATGAACAGAATCTAATGACTGTTGTGGTTTATCCTCAAAGGTCCATTTGGGGAAAGAGATGACCAACAGGTTTTTATTCAGAAGGTCATCCCCATTACCAACAAACTCTTTGTGAGGCTTTCATCCACAGGAAAAAGGTATTGATGATTTGTTTCACCTAATATGCAAACACTAATACGCTACTGCACAGTGATGTTTAATAATTGCGTTCTTTAGGATCTGTGAAATTCAGTCTGTGGATGGTACAACTATCACCTGTTTCATGGTACGAGAATGTGAGGGCTCCAGTCGAATGGGGTCACGACCTCGCCGTTACCTGTTTACGGGACACGGCAATGGAAGCATTCAGATGTGGGACTTAACTACTGCAATGGACACAGCCAACAAAGGAGAGGAGAAAAAGAAAGAAGGTAAAATCTGATTATTTGTGCAAAAATAAACTGCATGAATTATATGACTATATCATTGAGTCTATATTGTACAGATGTAGGTGGTCCCACGGAGGAGGAGCTGCTACAGTTGTTGGACCAGTGTGACCTGAGCACGTCTCGTTGTGCGACTCCGAACATCAGCCCTGCATCGTCCCTGCTGCACCACACACGGCTCAGAGACTCCTGCTCCAGGTCAGGAAAACTATCATCAGCTTTAATCAGCTTTATAATTTCTGGAATATTTTAAAAGAAGCAAATACAAAATCAACTTCTACTTTATGTCTTGTTATTATGGGGTTCCTTCATCTTTAGTTTACTGTATTGTCCTGCATTTGAGGTTTGAGTGATTCAAAAAAATCTGTTTTCCCCTACCCCTTATACCAGCCCAGTTCCTTCTACTAACTTGCAGGTATTGAAAAAAGTTCACAGATGTTAAATTTACAACAAAACCACATAAAGGAAAATCCACTGTTTAATATGGTTAATTCTGCATTTTGTAACAGGAAGTCAAGGGACCAGTTTCTGTTTTTAAACTGACTTAGGGCCAATTTTGCTCTTTACAAAGAACAAAATGGAAAGTCTATTTAATACTAAGGATTAGGGAAAAAAAGTATTGTATGTCATCTTTAATTATTTCCTTCTCTTACATTGCTCCTTCTGTCGTGCTCCAGTCTTCAGTTACATGCTCAGGAGCCGATCCCTGAAAACCAGGCTACATACGGAGCTGTGAGACCGTACAGAGAAAGCCCACTGTTAGCACGCGCCAGACGAACAGAGTCCTTCAACAGTTACCGGTAACACTTGCTCATCAGTATTGTACACAAATAAAAACATAAAAAGTAATTCAGTTCAGTTAGGGGTGGGTGATAGCAGTAGTCTTTTGGATTATTAAAGATTATTAGACTACATTTTAGCAATCCAGAATGTGCTAAAAGTATAACGCAAAAAATGAACGAACCATGAAAATAACCACAAAAGTGCAGAAGTATAAAGTTATGTCCATGTTTGGAAGGTTACACTCAGCAAGTTAGATTTTTTATTTCATGTTATCTTTGGTTATTATTTTCTTGTAGGCTGTATTCTGGATAATCTCCAAAACAATAATTATATTTTCAGTTTTAGTCATTACATCCTCCTTTGCTGTTGGATTTAATAACATCTTTTTCTGTAAACAGAGAATTCCAAGACTTCAGCCTGAGTCGTGGAGTCCTGGACGGTGCAGCTCAGTCGTGTCTGGCTGATGGTCGCCGGTCCCTTTGTGAGTTTGGGGCAGAGGATGGTGAGCGGAGGCCCTCTCATACGGAGCTCTGGGCTTCTCGGGGCTCTAGTCTAAATAAAAACAGCCAAGAGTCTCCAAGACAACTTCCGGACAGCCCTGTGTTTGGAGGAGATGTGCGCCGTAAAGTGTTGGCCCCGCCCACCGAGGAGGAGACAGTGGCATCGGGGAGTGACGTTGCTAAAGCTGAGAGCAGCACCAAGAAGAGAGGGGTGTTAGAGGGGGGGTTTCTGGGGAGGAAGAAGGCCCCCCCAGTCCCTCAGCTGTCCCCCGTCCCATCAGCTCCAGAGGCAGGGGGCAGCGATTCGTCCGGCACCGCATCTCCTTCACCAACAAAACTGAGCTCATCCACATCGCCACGGCACCGAAAAATGCCCTCAGACCCACCCAACCCAGACAGCAGTCTGTAGCCACACTGTGTACAGGATGCATTTTAGGTATAAATAACACTAATGTTTTACACATAATCTGTTTATTTCAGTCTAACACCTGAGTTTGAAAGGTAATTTACTTACCTTAGTATGTTAATATGTTCCATCTTGCAGTTTATAGAATATGTTTTTCAGCCATAGAGTGTATTTGATAGGACTCATAAGGAAATGATGGAGAGCAAGAGACATTCATAAAGCTGTGAGAGGTGGGACATGCTGCAGCTCTGATCACTGAGCTACAGACAGCATGTAACTTAGGTCTTAACAATTAAAAAAATACTTTAGAGCAATACTATAATTATATAATATTGCAACTGCAATTATTTTTACAATGCATGTTTTAAAAATCAATATTAAGTTCAAAGGCGCCTTTTACATACAGCATTAGCTATTATGAGAAGACTGAAATATGAATTACTAAATAACAAGAATCCCATGAATTTCAGGACATGTTTGTGGAGGTGTAAACTAGGTCTTATTCATAATAAGACCCTATCACTACATGGTATTTTAGTATCTGACAAATTACAGCTTTCATTTAGAACACTGTTGCTACTTACAAATTAACATCTAATAATGTAGCCATTGATGTGATGAAGCCTGTCTTTAGTCCAAGAACGACTCACTGCTGGAATGCATGTTTGTTGTTTTTTCTTTTAGCTTTTCTAACTTGTTGCTGTGTCCTGAAACTGGAGCTTTTCCCATTTGAGTTGATGTTTACTTTTGGTGTCTCTGTGGAGATGTGGGCCTGATAGCAGATGTTGAGGCAAAGCTTTAAAGAGAGGAGACCTTTGGTCAGGGTTTTGTGGGTGCTGTTTTCTTTATGTTGAGCCTTAAGGACAGATTGGTGTGCCCTGGCAGCTACTTGAATTGAACCATGTGATCTGAAGTCCTGTTGGCTATTACTAGGAATTCTAAGTAACTAGGAATTGGAGCACTATCATTTTCTTGACTGGTGATAGTTTATTTTAATCAAAAGCTTAGTTGCATTTGTTTGTGTGACAAAAGTAACACTATGAAGTAAATATCATGTATTGCATAGATAAACATACTAATATTTATGGGACCAGCAATTCATTTTCATGACTGATCTAATTAATCCGTCCTGTTGCTTTTGTAAATAAGTTTGTGCCTTTTGAGATGCCGTAGTTTGAGGGTGAAATGCGTTTTGAGACTCTTTACGGTACCTATTATTTAGTTTTTATTGTTAAATGCATTTTTGTTTCACTTTGAGTGCCTTATATTGCCTGTAGTGAAGTTAGTGAGTGTGACCAAAGACTGAAGAAGAGGAAACAAGCTGATAAATGAACCTAGAGTTATTTGTTATATTTAACATTAACTCTTAGATTGTGTAAAGTGTAGTTTAAAACTGTTTTAATACCATTACTATTAATTATTTTCTGGTGGGTGTTATACTCAATCCTTTTAACAGTTTTGCCAGTAAGGAAACAATATATTTGATGCAGAAAATGAGGCCGAAACAGACTGAAACATTAGTTTATATTTTAGCTTAATTAGCTTTATTTATTTAAACTGTCATTTATAATATTGCTGTGCTTACCAAAATAGAATATGTATATTGAAAATGTTATATGACTATAAATATATTTCGAGTTTATTTTCAGGTGATTGAACAATTTGGTACTTGCCTGCCAGCACAAAGATGCACCTTGTATATGTAAACTGCATTAATATGACTAATGTAATGCTTTGTTCTGCTTTCAGTAACATGCTAATGGACCTAATCATATTTGCACTAGCACTATTAATACCCAGTATAAAGGTAATGTTTATTTTCTATAAAATATTATAATGTATATTTTCTGCAGATTTGTTTTGCACGTGTTTCTCGGTCATCTCTGTTACTCTGGCTGTGTTTACATTACATTTATGCCAGACGCTCGTGAGCTAAAAGAAAGGCATCATAAAGCTGCCTACATTGTTGGTACTGTTACTGTTATTATGTATAACTCTACAAATAACATTGTTTACCATTTGTCTAAACTGAATATGTTACTGTCATCATTGTTATTGATCATGCCACTCAAGTAAACCATGGCCTTTAATAAGATATGGTGCATGTCGATATAATAAAACACTAAATAACTAAACATGCTTATTATTATTGACACTATTACATTGTATGGCTCTGAATTCAATAAAAGCGTGTAGTTAAGTGAGTTTTTGCGTTCATTTGACTAACCTTCTCGCTCAGACAGTCTGCTCTGAGACAGCGTCTGTCGTCCAAGTGATTTATGAGTTTAATAAAAGTGTGTGTGCGTGTGTGTGTGTAGCTCAGGGCCATACTGTCCCTTACAATCACTTCACAAAGTCTCTTTTCACAAGTGGTGCCTCCCTCAGAGCCTGACAATAGCTGTGAATGTGGCTGTGAATGTGGCTATGGATGCAGAGAAGTGCCCTTGTCACACTGCTGTCCTTGAGCGAGGGCACTGTTGTTTCTGCCACTTTGTTAATTTCAAACTTGCCTTGATGCCCCCTTAAGGGACAGGACCGCAAAACCAAATTACTGCTGCAGAGTTTTGACGGAGATGCTGGTGTATACAGTACAACAGCGGTACGCTGGATTCACCTACTCAGCACAAATACGTCCCCTCAAATCTAACTGTTGCTCATTTTATGAACCTTTTTGGTAAGATGTTACTATTTCTGTTACAAAAATAAAGCCATTGAAATTCATATAATTTTCAGCCAACCAGGGTATCATATAATAAGAATATATGATTTAACTTTAGTATTGTATTCCTATTATTACTAATACAAAAAAAATTACTGAAAAAAAAAGCAAAAACAAATAAAGACATAATACAGAATGTGTAAACTGCATGACCAATTGTCATTATTTATATTCAAAATAATAAGATTATTCAGTTCAGTAACTGTAGACAGCACTTAACATTAATACATAATACTGCCAAAGTAAAAAAAAACTGCAATTATTTGTGCAGAGAAACATACAAAATGCTAATGTACAAATAAATCGAACAATTTTTCTCTGTTAAATTGACCAAAAAATCTTTCAGTTCATTCAAATACAGACAATCCTACACCAGTAACTCAACTAAACACTTTTTACTTACAGTAGACACATGACCACATAAACACTCTAACTCAAAGTTCACTATTGAATGGCCAAATATTCAGCATCTCCACAAAATACTAAACAAGACAGCACATTCAGAGTTCCCAGCCACATTTAAGACAGTAACATTATTTGGCATTTTAGACATTATTTAAACATTAACAAGGCCAGAACTTCATGTACGGTAATTCAATTGTGCACAATTACAAAGATCTCTCGTAATAAATAAGTCTTAAACTATCTGGAGCTACTGCTATATGCACTGGATATTTAAGAAGTTTGTACATAACTCACTAAAACACAAACAACTACCATTAATTGTACAATGTTGACAGTGCTTTTAAAAATAAATACTGGTAGCCCTATTCACACTCACAACAATTCTGTGCGGTTTTAACTACATCTGCAGTGCATTTGTTGATAAGCTGCTCTTTACGTGCTAAACTAAACATATTTCTCTATAGTTGTTGCTTTACAGTGAGATATTGTGTTTCCCTGGTTGCCGTATTGTCTCAGAGGTGTGTATCTGTGAACACAGTGTGCTCATTTTTGACTGAGCTCATGGTCTTGGCGGCATCTCCAAATTCTTCCTCTTCCACGTACTGAAAGTAATAATACATGTTTTTAATTATCACAAAAAGTGTTTATTATTGTAACAAATACCATTGGTTTGAATAACATAAAAAGTACACAGAATTAACCCATAGTCCCTGAAACAACCAAAAGTTAAGTCATTTATAATTGGTGGGTGATTGCATGTTTTGTCCTCTAGGCTATAATGCATAAGACAGATGTAAAATAGCAACTTTCTGACAGGTTCATTTTTCTATTTTGTGAAAACACTGCATCGAAGCTGAAAGTAGACTGTGGTATTGGTTCAGTCCTTGGCCTGGATGACTCACTATAAAAATAAAATGACTGAAGGACAGCTGTAATTTGCAACAATGTTAAATTTGGATGTTACTCTAATGGTACAAAATGTAATGAAAAACAGAAGGAATAGATAGACCATGGCAGTACAGTATCATTTTGACTTTCAATAAGCTATAAAGTCAATAGCTTAAAGTGCTTAACAATGTAGAATAACTTAAGTACTTGTAAAGAGAGACAGGAGACTTGAGATGTTTATTTACCATAAGTACAAGCACATAGTGGAAGAATTGTATTCAAGTCAGGCTTTGCTTCTATTGTAGGGAGTATTATAACTGCTGATGACGTAGGCAAGATAACAAGAACTGAGCTGTAGTTGTCCTTGGTACAGTATTACAAATTCCCTATTAGCAATAATACAGTCTACTTGGAATATTGTCAAATACAGCGTCTTTGGTCCTTACCAGTCCTGAATCCTGACCTAGGGGGTTGTCCCAGCTTCCTTCCTCCATCATTAGTGATTTCCTGTCAATCAGCTGGCTCACGCTGCGGTGCAAGGAATGCTGGGAGTAAGCCGGATCGAGGTCTGTTTGGCTGGGCACACGCAGCACTGGCATTGTACTGATCTTTGTGTCCGATAGAGCCTAAAAGGAAACACAGAGTACTTGAGATCACATGGAAAAACTATACATACACCACATATTGCATTCAGATCAAATCTCAGTTTGAATCGTCACAATTATCAAATTGTTAAGGTTATTGTTTGCGTAGTACAATGTCTCCCCCGCAAACAACAATAACATGCAGCACTCATGGGGTCTTATTATGTTTATAAAATCTGTTAACCCTGTACTATCATAATGTGAAATGGCATTTCAATCATTTGCAGCAGCTCATATTTATCTTTTGTCAAATGTTAATGCACCTGGACTTTAAAATGAGCACTTTGAAGAAAGCTTGATTTAAAAAATTTTGAATAAAAAATGCAATTGCAATTGCTCAATGTCAGAATTTTTATTTTTTTTTCAACCCAAAATTGTAAATGTAAATCTGGTGGTCCAATGAAAATGTTATTGCTTTCTCTGGATGGTTCCACAATACAGGCCACTTATTAACTATTAACTTATACGGGCATTTTCATTGCCAACAAATTCATGGTGGTAGCGTCACCTGTTTGTCTCCATGGAGACTGCCAAGTTTCATGCAATTTTATGGAACATTATCGACAAAGGAATATCTCCATAAAGAATATGTTTCAGACACACTCCACCAATGCTTCAAAGTAGTGTTGAAAGTCACAACTCACAGCACACAGAGCGCATGCAGAAACATAAGTGCCACACAAACAAATGCACACACTCCCATACCTCTGAATACACAGTGTAGCTTTTAAGTACAACGTTGCTGACCTCAACACTGTCTGCTACTGTGTCAAACTGCAGAGGGACAATAGAGGCCACATTTAGGGTACACACAGAAACAAGTGAAAAATATCTTACTGTAGATCGACCAGTGAGCAGCACAGAGCCCGAATAATGTTTAGAGCACAACTCAGGACAGGAGCTCTGAGACAAGAAAACAAGGGATGATGGAGGAGAGAAAGAGGAGAAGAGTAATACAAATGATGAATGTATGGGGCAAATTAAATCATGATATTTAAGAGAAAAGATTGAAAAAGTGTTAAGAGAACATGCTTAATAAAGAGTATTACTCGAGCAGAAAGCAAAAGCTGACTGGACTAGTGGTATCTTCTCTTTCCCATAATCAAGCTCTCACTCACCATATATACCTCTCCACGGGCTTTGCTTGTCTTCTGCAGCATTACCAGCGGAGGGCGCTCTCTAGCTGCTGGATCTTTCCTCAAAGCTCTGTATGAAATTAAATGAGTTATTTTAGATGCTTTGAGCCTGTGACAAGTATAATAAAAGCACAAAGATGCGTATTATTAATGATCTTTAATTTAATGTGCCCAAAGTACCTTTGTAGCACTAAGCCAATCAACAAAGCCAGCAGAAATAGTCCCAGTATTGAGAAGAGCAGAATGAACCACAGCTCTGAGTACACAGGCGTTGGTGACATGCTGACCCCTTGTTTATCACTGTCACTTGACTCACCAGGATCTGAGAGGGAGGCACGGAAGAGAGTGGAAGTATCAGAAATAAACTCACCAAAATATATTATAAAGTATATTATAAAACAAATATGTAGCTGGTTGTAGTATAGTATATGTGTTACCTAGTCCAAAGCTAGGGCTGTATTTGATAACTGGAGTGCTGGCACTGCCATTGTCTGTGGTACAAATCACTTGGAGAGAGAGTGCTGGGAGAAACACAGGAAAATCGTGATTATAAAATGTAACTTTTGCATATGTTACAGATAACTGAAGACGCATGTGTATGAAGTGCACTGACGTTTCTGGGAGGTGAGGGGGATGTGGAGGGAGCTGTAGAAACCAGAATAGACCCTCAGTTTTCTCTCGGTCACTGTGTACTCCTTTAAACGTCCATTCAGAGAGAAGGACTCTGACCAGTCCAGCCACACAGTGGTCAGGTTACTGCCCACCAGGAAAGGAGCCACATACTGTGGGGCTGTGGAGGACAGGGCTTTATTTAGTTTTGTAATGATGAGTATAAGGGCCTGGAGACGTTTTGTAGTTACCTTCAGAAAGAGTAGTCACTGTTGTCCAGTTGGAGGCAGTGCTGCCCATGTTGTTAAAACACGCAGCTCTCAACTCATAGTTGTAATATGGCTTTAGGCCTAATAAATGCACAAATTATGACAAATGAAAAAATATGTAGTGAATGTACCACAAAAACCTACATCCTCACGGTTTAGTTTGGCATACAGGCATTATACATGCATTTAATAGAATATAACATTGAATCCCTGAACACTGATGAGCTTAAACGTTTAGTAGAATTAGTGTTACTATCTTAACAGTCTTTTACCTGTCACATTGTGGCTCCAGCTTGTTCCAGAATAAGACACTTCTATGTGACCCTCTACACACGGGAGAGGAACAGGCTGAGGAGGCTGTGGGCAGCGTGGTCTCAAATGAAGCTCACAGCTGAACAAAAACAATTTGATATTCATAAGAATGCAGTATTATGTACACTATTGTCCTCAGTTTAAAGGTACCCACTTCTCAATGACCCCA